TATATGTTTGAAGCTATATGTTTAAATGTTAAATATCATTGTCTTTTGTTGCTAATAATTCTTAATTATTGTTTTTCATATTTATAATTTCTAATCACTATTTATCATTAAACTATGCTTAGCTTGAAGATTGGTTGTAAATTGACCTAACACAGCTCAAGCTCGAATTCTTTTTAGCTTGTTTGAGTTTGACTCGTAAAAGAAACAAACAAACCAAGCTTAAGTTGATAAATATTAAACAAATAAAGTCAAGCTCGATTACCATATGATACTCCGCTCAGATCCTTTGCATATATATATATATATATATATATACACACAAAAGAGAGGCTCGGTTGAGGGATCTTAAATAAGTTTATTTGAGAAACATTCTTGTAGGGCCCACCCACGTATTGTATTTCAATGATCCAAACCATCTAGTTTTTACATATTCCGACAAATATCATCTCTGCAAAAAATCACTTGAATCCAAAACCATTTGACCACTCAATTAGATGGTTGCTATTTTAGTACTTTTTTTTTTTTTTTTAAGAATTGTGTTCGTCGATTATATTGGTCCCAACTAGATGCCTTAATAATTTTCAATTTGTTTGATTTTTTGTAAAGATGATCTATGAATGAAGACTTGAAAAAGAGACGGTTTGGATAGTTGAAAAAAATATGTTGGGGACTCTAAAGGTTGTTGTTAGGTTTTGTTTAGCTAATGCTCTTTGTAACACCCTGACCCAATTTATCGTTTTATTCAATTTATTTCCATTTGTAAATTTACAATTTTGCTCTTGGGGTATGGGCACATTCACCTTTTGTTTGGGAAGGATTTTGAGGAATTGAGTGACACCGTTACGTAGAGCTCGACGATATGAGTTCGTTGACATGCGGCATGCCCAATTCTGAGTTCTAACGAAGGAGGAAAGGTTCAAAAACGAAAAGGACGTAATAGAAATTTTTAAATTTGTTAATGCTACAGTACCCGTATTTTTTTCCTTCTTTCTCCCCCCCCCCCCCCCAAAAAAAGAGCATTTCTTCTTCCTTTCTTCTCTTGTGATAGTTACTGTATCAACAGTGACTGTTCAAATTCCCGTCCATCAATCGACGCCGTTGTGCACTAGTTGGCCACGCCACTTAAGTTGATCCCCTTATATAGTCTGAACATATTGATATAGGTATTGTAGGGTGTTTCGAGAAATGCTTGTTGCCGGAAATTTCTCAAGACACCCAAGGGCTACCAGTGTTTGGATTTGGTTATCGTTTGACAGTAGAACGGATATTGCACCTATTATGCGATATCCGGTTTCGATAGGTGCGGACCGTTCGATCGGTTCTAATTTCAAATATGTTGTTCTCTATACCTCTACGATCGTATAGGAACTTGTTGATTGAGAATTTGAGTCCCAGATACTCTGAATCAATGATTCTAAGTTTATGCGAAACGATTGTCGTCCGATTGTGCGATTGGCTTAGATCCGACCCCTCGATCGAGATCAAACTTTCAGAACTTGTTTAGAAGACTTCGTTGGACCTATATGAACTTCTGGATCGGAAATCGAAGGTGGTGGCCCCGCAGGCCTAATTGACCTAGATGGTGGGCCTCCCCAGCCCGATCAGGACAATTTGGTTGGGATGTGTTTGTGATTTGGTGGTTTGATTTCAAAACTGTAATTTTTTTTTCTTTGAGAGTTTTATTAAATATTTGTGACTTATTGTTCTATCACTTTTACTTGCCCCGTATGATACATTTATGTTTTATATTGTGCGGATTTGGGTTGAGTTGATTTTAAATGTTTGGTGATATGTTGATGTTTATTTTTAATATATGTGTTAAATCGTTTGAAATTGGAAATACTGTTGCCTTCGAAAATATTGATGTCTTCGGACATCCCAGTTGCCTTTGAAAAATTGATGTCTTTGGACATCCTGATTGCCTTCGGAAATACAGATGCCTTCGGAAATATTGATGTCCTTAGACATCCTGGATGCCTTCGGAAATATTGATGTATTCAAACATACAGTTGCCTTCGGACATATGGTTGCCTTCAAATTTTTCTATGCACCCACGCGTTTTGGGGATGCCAAAACCATGTGGAGCTAGGATTTGCATTCTCAGGCAGAGTATATCTCCATGAGTTATGAGAGGATTTGCATTCTCAGGCGGAGTATATCTCCCTTAGTTATGCGAGGGGAATTAACAGATTATTTACATTCTCAAGTGAAGGATATCTCCCTAAGTTCTGCAAGGAATGCGTCTCGGGCTGACCCTGTGTCCCCAGAGTTCTGCGAGGATTATGTCTCCAGTCAACCTCGTGTCCCTAGAGTTCTACGAGAATGTATCACACATGTGGCTACATGTGTGGTGCGAGGGGAATTGACGTTATATTATTGGAATTGATAGATTATGTTTGAGGTACATTTATGTGGAGAATAGTATAGTACCACCCTGTGGTACTGTTAACAGGATATTCTTCGCCACCCTAGCCACATGCCCAACTTGTTTACACATGTGGTTAGCTAGTTTCCCATTCCCTTGTTGCCTTTGGATTTGATGGTATTCTCATATACCCCTTGGTGGGTGATTACATGATATATGCACTATGCGGATGATTGCAGGTATGGCTTTATTGTAAAAGGTTGGGTTATGTAAGTGGTTGGATGTACAATGATAAACTAATTGAGCAATTAGGTACATAATTACATGGAATGACATTCAATTATATAGCTGGTTGAAAACAAAGTAAAGAATGATTCTAGAATTTAATTGTTGGTTTTACCTTGAACAATATTAACTCATCTTAATTGTGATTTTTGGTAGAAATAACTACGTGTGGCTTGATCCCTCAGTAAGGGTACGTAGGCAACCTAGGCTAACATAGGTGCATCCGCAAGTTTATGATTTGTTTGATATGTTCAGTTTTATAAAGTTGAATTTATTGAACGCTTGGGAATAATTGGGTTTGCTGTGCAGATAGATTTTTGGGTTTTGAGCATTTTTCATGGGAGACTCTACTGGTTTTCGGGTAGAAGTCAAACCCTAAAGAAGTTTTTGGATTAGGGCAATAAGGTTATTTTGGTCATTCGTGCTCGATACCTGCCAGGTGTTGGACACGCGCGGGGTTTGACACTGATTCCAAAGTGGAATTGTCCTATCACTCTTAGCTTTCCTTGACAAACTTATAATCTCTTATGTAATCAATCAAGCTCAAGTAATTTAGGTTAGGTTAAGTCTGTACTCAAAATGATTATAGAAATTGAAGCAACAATGTCATGGCTCAAATGGAATCAAGATCCATGAAGGTAAAAAAATTATACATTACATTCACTTAAATATTAGGAGGTATGACTGGTCATCTATTCTCATGCGAATTTGTTCTGACTACCAACCGTAGCTCATCTGTCCTAATGATTTTTTGTCATATTGTGAAGCCAATGTTTGGCTGCCAGCTCGGGGAATTTAAGGTATACTTCTTTTTGGTAGAAAAGAAGGCTACAACATTGAAGTCGTTGCTTTCCTTAGCAAGAGAGAGAGGTTTTTTTTCAGAGGTTGATTTTTTTGGCTCTGCATCTTTCTCTCTTTTAGTAAGATCTGCATTTAGAGAGAGAGAGAGAGAGAGAGAGAGAGAGAGAGAGAGAGAGAGAGGTATTCTTCTTCTTCTTCTATGCATTTGTTGCTGGGTGAGGTTTGAGTCTTCAAATGAGGTTTTCAAATAGGTTTTCAAATATGCTTTTATTTTCGAAATCCACTTCACCAATTGAGATTTTTTTAGAGTAAAACTTTTACTCTACATTTTCTTTCATTCTGAGATTTTTAAATGGTTTATAAAATATGTTGTTCTTTTAAAATATGCATCTGGGTTCGTATTGACTATTCATTTTCTTAACTCTAGATCAGATTCTTGGTTGATTTCGTCAAGAGTATGGTTTCTTGAAGGAATTGACCCTTTCATGTCATAATATATTTTTCATTATGTATGTTCGATCTAGAGCTTATTTGTCAGTGCCCTGGAGTGAATGGGCTTATGGACTAGCTGCCATTTATATGAAGGATTAGCTTCTAGCTCAACTAAGTTAGAGATGAAATTTGCACAGGGAGGTAGTGCTTATTTCCTAAATAGAACTAGGAATGCTTGGGTTTGTGATTTCTTTTTCTGTAAAAACCTTACTGACTTAGTGGATTGCTTGGTCGGATGATGACCCCCAGTTTTTTCCAATGCTGGGTTTCTGGGTGAACATTTCTGGTGTTGATTCTGGATAATATGACTAGTCATACTTGTTCAATATATGTGTATAATTATGATGAATGTTCACACACTCTCCACTCTAGTTGTTGTTAGCGTTAATGATGCCTAGATTGACTTGGGGTGTCACTTAGCTTTCTTCTAAGATTGCAGGTGTTAATAATTGATATGTTGTGAATCTAGGTTCTAGATTGCTTCTTCATAGGTCTATGACCAGTAGTTGACTAGTCATATTGTTACTATGAACATTTAATCATTATTGTCTTAGATCTATCCATGAGGGTTTTAATTTACCTTCTTCACCTAAGTACTAATTTCAGGTGCCCCTCAAATAAAATTATTATAGGAATCCTTCAAAAGAATGGGAATTTATATATATATTTATGTATATAAATGGTGCAAGGCATTCATCATGATGATGCAATCATGTATGTTGTAGAATCCAATGTAATAATGCAATGTTTGTTGGTTAAAAAAAATAGTTGAGAAAAGTTGAGGTGTGACGTTGTTCGAAATAATAGCGCGAATACTTTATACTTTGAATAAAGTTAGTGGAATATTTTTTCCATAGAATAGACATTCCTTTTCAATCAATATAGCTTTTTTGAGAGAGAACGTGCTCGCCAATTTTCAGGTTCTTCCAAAGGCAGCATACATAGTAGCTTGGCAAGCAAGCTAAGGGTTACCTCAAGAGATTCCTCCTCTTTCATCATCAATATAAAAGGGATGTGACATGCTTGCTTTATATATTCTCATCATCTTTTAAGATAAAGCTAGAGAACAAGGCAAATCATCAACCTCTGTACTTCATTTTGAGCCTCCGATTACCCTCCAAACTGAGAGTACATAATGACAACTTGTTTCTGCCTTCCCAAAACTAATCCAGAAGAGACTTCTGTAAGCAAAAGAAATGATCGAGAGCCTGCTTCTAACACTAATTCTAATAATCCCAAAGGAAAAGGATCCAAAGCTTTCAACTTTCGGGGGAACGAAATCTGCGACAACAAAGGTGAAACCGTCGGAGTATTTAACTTCGGCAACAAGAAGACCGCGGGCTCCACTGACAAGCAGGATAGCGGCTCCAATCTTGTTTTCAACTTTGAAGATATTAAAATTCAAAGGAACCAGGCCAAGAAAACCGTCGGATTTTGTGACTTCGGCAACGAGTATTGATCCTTCAATATCCCACGCTTGCAGGCCTCTTTTTCTTTTTTTTCTTTTTTTTTTCTTTTCTTTTTTGGATGTATAATACTATTTTATTTCTTATATGCATAAATTGGTCCTGTCATGAGTAAATGAAAAAGTAAAAAATTAAAATTAAAAATTAAAAAAAAATCTTAATTTTATATGAGGCTTGAATAGTAACATTATTTACCGTCTTTTACCTTTTGCAATAACAAATGGGTGGAAATGCTCTAATAGGTGGGCCATTATTCTTTTATATAATGAATTTAAAGACGAAAAGAAAAGAAGAAAGCTCTTTCACTTCAACAGCTTTTTACCAAACACATTCTCAAAATAGTATAATTACCCTTTTTTGAGGACTACATACATATGATAACAGAATGCAAACCAACGTATGATAGGACTATATATGAGTTTATAATTTCTAATCACTATTTATCATTAAACTAAGCTTAGCTCGACTGATTTTTAGCTTGTTTGAGCTCCACTCCTAAAAGAAACAAACAAAACAAGCTTAGCTCGATAAATATATTAAACAAAGTCAAGCTTGATTTGTTAATTCTTTAAAGCCATAACATGTTTAACACTATCCTGAGTCTGACATGGTTCTGGCGCAGATTGGATGATGCTGGAACAGATTGGCAGCGCAAAGTATAGAAGTTCTTCTCCTGAGAATCCGATCCTTATAGTTATAACTTTGATGGATGAATTTCTGTTTAGCTGTGTTGTGTGTTTCGGATCTAGGAGGGAGCCTTCTATTTATATGCATCTCTCTAAGTGTCTTGCCCATCAAGAAACACTTAGAGATATCCTTCATGCTATAGGATTAATCCATTCCAATCCTTGTAGAACTAGGAACCCTTAAGCCTTCATTATCCTTATTGAACACTGTTTGAGGCTTGCCTAATCGAGATAGGTTTTGAGTTCCTAATAAACAATAAGTCTTTGTAATCCTAAGTTGATTAGAAGATCACTTCAGTAGGTTTAACTTACTCTATATAAGTAATTAGGAGTGAGCACTCACAAAACACTTAGCATAAAAAGATAATCACAACAGTAAGGGATGTTGAGGAGAGGTAGTATTGCCATATATTTATCAAATTCTACCATGTTGGTTGGCTGGTGCCGGCAACGGAGGCGGCTGAGAAGGCAGAGAGGGAGCACGATATGGCTAGGAAATAATTGTCGGGGGTTCTACCTAGCTTGGAAAATCAAATCTTGGAAGTTGAATATTTGTGATATTGCCCAAGCTTTAAAGTTGAAATTAGCAAGCTTTGATATTTACTGAAAATCTAACAGAAGGGGTCACCAAGATCTTTATGTTTACAAGAAACTAATACAAATGGAGTGACCACCATATTTGACAAAGATCCTAAATCTTGGATTTCAGTAAAATCAGATACTCGGATACACTACAAATACAGAAGAGATAGCTAACTGTCTAGCCACAAACAAAAAAAAAAAAACAAAAAGAAGGGGAAATCTGGCAGATTACAAGATCGTAGATTGATTGCAAAACAGAAAACTTCATCTCTCTCTTCGTACGAATCAAAATTATCAACCCGTGTCCATATAAACGTGTTCCTTTTTTATTTTTTTTATTTTTTTAAACCTGGTGCAAAACGACGTCGTTTTGGCCAGGCTCTGTTAGAGCATCTCCAAGGGAGATGTCAAATACCAAACATCAAATTTAAATTTGATGGCTGATGTGGCAATTTGACATTTACATACTTTTACACTCCACCCGATATGTCAAATAAATAATTATTGTAACAGTCAAATCATTTAAGATAAAGAATAAAAAAAATAAAAAAGGAAAATAATAAATGAAAGTAATAGTCAGCTGTCTTTAAAAAATAATAAAATATTCATTTGACATCTTGCTTTTGAGATGTCAAAAATAACATCTCAACCTAGCCTTCATTCCACATCAGCTTTAACATATCGGTTGGAGTGATGTGAGATGTTATTTCTAGCTGTTAAACATCTATGTGGCACGTTTGACACATCGGTTGGAGATGCTCTTATAAACGAAAAAAGAAGCGCGCGCTCAACGCAGCTTGCAGCACCAGCAGCACAACGCCCAGGCCATTTGCACATTTCATCGAACACCTTGCGTGCGTCTCTAGTCTGAGCAGAGGTGTAACTCCAGCATCTCTTATGGAGTTTTCCGGCGAGCGGAGGTGCAGGTGCACCTCCTTGCGCTGCACAGATCCGCCACTCAGTTTAACCAAAATTCAAACCAATGCCGCACCGCACAAAGACGGTTATCGAAGGTACCGGTTACCGTGGGTGGCTGCGGTATCGGTCAGTTACCAAACCTGCAACAAACAAGAGGGAGGTGATGAAATCTGGGACAATTGCACGCTAGGAGGGTTTGAGTTGCAGTACCAGATCTAGTTGATGAAGATTTTGCTAGAGAGAAGAGAGTCACTGTGGTACTGGATTTACAAAGATGGTTGCTGGGTCTAAGAGAGAGGGTTCGAAAGGAAGGAGAAGATGAGTTTTCAATTACCAAAAATATGTGGGGAGAAAGGAAGAAAAGTAAAAGTGAGAAAAAATAGATTAAAAATAAATATTATTATTTAATGCAAAGTTAAAAATTGAAAAAATAACATTGATGTTGGTGTCATAATGTTGTCGACCAACACATCACCTCACCTCTCTTTCTTTCACGTGCACGCCTCCTCCTCCCACTTCCCAATTAATTTTTAAGTTTATTTACTTTATCTTTTTATTTTAAAGAATATGTTTTACAATTAGGCTCTTGGCCACTTTCGACTTGAACACAGAGAGAAGTTCAAAATACAGAGATGTAAAGGTGAGAGTAGAGAGATGGGTGGCGGCAGCGATGATAGAGCAGAGATGAGGGAGAAGGAGGAGGCTTCAGTGCCTGTAAGGCCATATATGAGAGAGAGAGAGAGAGAGAGAGAGAGGTCGATGAGAGAGCAGCGAGGAGAACTTGAGTCGAGAGTTCGATAATGAAGTGCAAGTCTGAGAAGGTGGGAAGCAGACGGCTAGTTTCTTCTGCATGTGTATTAAAAAATATATATATATCGGTCAGTTGCGGTTGCTGACGGCTTTGGTTTCCCGCATCCGCATCCGCAGCATTTCAGCTCGGTCGTCCAACCGCAACTGGTCATTGACCGGAAAAGTCAACGGTTTGCCGACCGGACATATCGGTCGGAAACCACCGGTATTTGCGGTCCAACCGCACAGCCCTAGTTTTGGGAATTGTTTTACAACAGTGAGGGGAGCTTAGAATGAAAACGTGACGTTTCGACTTGGTAGGCAAATACCAGGAACTTGGTTTGGGCCTATAATATAATTTAAACATCACAAAACATGATAATATGCACAGCAGCAAAGAACTATTTTTAAAAATAAAATAAAATTGAGGAGGGGCAGGGACCACTCTGGTCCTATGCTATCTTCGCCCCTGCTTGTAGGGTTCATCATGTATTGTATTTCAATGATCCGAACAGTCTAATTTTTAGATATTACCCCAAATATCATTTTTGTAAAAAATCACTTGAATTCAAAATTATTTGACCACTCAAATAGATGGTTATTATTTTAGTCTTTTTGGAAGCAAATCGTGTTTGTTGATTTTATTGGTCCTAACTATATGCCTTCATGATTTTCAATTTACCTTTTTCTTTTTTTTTCCTTTTTTTTACAAAAATGATCTATGAATAAAGGCTTGAAAAATACAGGATTTGGATCGTTGAAAAAAAATTCAATCATCATCATGCATGTGGAAGATACAACCATGTATAACGTGGAAGATACAGCCATGTATGTTGTGGAATCCAATGTAATAATGCAATGTTGGTTAGTTAAAAAAAAAATAGTTGATTAAAGTTGAGGTGCGACGCTGTTCGAAATAATAGGGCGAATACTTTAGGCTTTCATTTTCAATCAAAATAGCATCCTCTAGAGAAAACTTGCATCGCCAATTTTCAGTGTCTTCTGAAGGCAGCATAGATAGTAGCTTGGCAAGCAAGCTAAGGGTTACTTCTAGAGATTCCTCTTCTTTCATCATCAATATAAAAGGGATGTGACATGCATGCTTATATATTATTCTCATCACGTTTTAAGATAAAGCTAGCGGACAAGGCAAATTATCAACCTTTGTACTTCATTTTGAGCCTCCGCTTAACCTCCAAACGATTGAGACATAATGACAACTTGTTTCTGCTTTCCCAAAACTAATCCAGACGAGACTTCCGTAACCAAAAGAAATTATCGAGAGCCTGCTCCTAACATTAATTCTAATAGTCCCAAAGGAAAGGGACCCAAAGCTTTCAACTTTCGCGGAAATGATGTATGCGACAACAAAGGCGACACCGTCGGAGTATTCAACTTTGGCAACAAGAAGACCGAGGGCTGCAGCGGTACTGACAAACAGGATGGCCGCTCCAATATTAACTCTACTTTCAACTTTGAGGATAACAAAATTCAAAGGAACCAAGCCCAGAAAATTGTCGGATTTTGTGACTTCGGCAACGAGTATTGATCATTCAATATCTGACGCTCGTAGACCTCTTTTTCTTTTTCTTTTTTTCTTTTTTAAATAATGTATCGCGCTATTTCAGTCCTTATAATATCTAATAATATTAATAAATATGAGTTTTTAACTTAAATGGTCTTTAAATTTACACCCGCGTTTCAATTAGGTTCTCAATAAGACAAAAAAAGTGCTCAATTTCGTTCCACATATTTTATGTGATGCCTATATGAACTCCACATATTTCTTTTATTCCTTAATTTATTGCAACTAAAAATTGGACGATCGTGCTCATAAAGACACCAAGAATCTTTCGCTAGAGCATTAACGGAGTCTATTATTCTATTCACATGTATATGTTTTAAAGTTTTTTGAGAATTTTGTTTTCTAAGAGAAACTATGCTTTTGGATAACGTTTGTTAGGTACCATTTGGGCTCCTTCTTTTGGCGCCCTATTTCACTTTTGTATCTTTTCTTGTTAGAGATCAAGAGAAAGTACATGGAGGAAAAGAGAATCAATAATGGTTGAGGAAATGAGAAAGTCAATAGCCAAAAGAGTAAAGGGCTTATAGCTTAAGTGGTCACCCAAGGTCATAGATTCGATTTTTCCTTTTCCTAATATCGCTTGTATCGAATTAAAAACAAACAAATTACTGTTACATGTAATTTTGATCCTCCATGGATGGACGGTTAGGGATTTAATTTAATTAGATTTTCGAATAACTTATTCATTCAGTATATATCTTTGAGAATTCAATTCTTACCATGTTATATAATTTTCAATTAAGTGGTATATAATTCTTACCATGTTATCTTTTATACACTCTTATGGTGCTTATTATTTTTTAATAAAGCATCTATTCCGAAAACAAAAACGAGCAAATCCACAGAATAAGTTCAAAGAAGTAATTTGAATTGAAGCTACTTTTGTAATTGACCAGTCAATTGCCTCACTCGATCGTTGCTGAGTCATCAGACTCGGATCGTTCCAACTCGAAAGTTGTTGAGTCAACGCGGACTCCTAGTGACTAATTATCATTGATTATTACTATTTTTTAATATTATTTTAAATAAATGTTTTACTCTTGTAATTTACACTCTACGTGCATTTGGATTGGGAATATATAATATAGCTTGGCAATAAAGCTGACACTTGATATATTCGGATTCCTCCACTGTAACCATCTCTATGCATGATGATGCGTTTAAAGTGGACCAGGCATGCGCTTTTCGGCTTCCAACAAACACAATGATATTTAGCCATATGTGGAAGGCGTTGTGCTGGCGCAACAACAACAACGACACTCCAGAGCCATCTTCCAAATACAATCCCAACCCTCCAGCTCCTGCTGCTCCTACAAAAGCAGCCCCATGTACTAATCCTGCAGCACATGATCATGATCAACCAGATGAGAGTGATGAGGGCTTAAAGCCACCACATGATAGTTCCTCCTCAAGTGCTGGGCTTCAAGATCAACCAGCTACAAGCCCCTCGGAGCCCAAGGGTGACAGAAAAAAGAAAGGGAAAAAAAAGGGGACTGGTGGGAGATCAGACTGTGATACTTTCGACGTTCGTGGGAATACCATTACCGGATGCAAAGGCGGTAAGATCGGAATTTTCGACTTTGGCAACACCTATACATGAATCAATCAAGGCTGAAAGAAAAGCTGTTGATTATATGAAGACGAAGATTAATTAATTTGTAGAATTAATCATGAGAGATTAATTAGTTAATTTGGATTTGGATCTCTCTGTAATTTTGATAATCTTGTAAGTTGGGTTGGGTGTTTATGGATATTGATGATCTTGTAAGGGCTGCTAGTATTGATATGAATTTTCTTTCGTTATTGCTGACCACATGTTTTACATAGATAGAAGAAATAGAACTCACTTACACATGCGATAAATAATAATAATAAAAAGAGTTTGCTGCTCACTTCTCTTATTTTAATTTTTAAGAACAGCACTTGGGGATCGAAAGAAACCAACGGTAATTACATGTCAGTTTTAAGGGTATTTGTAGTATTATACCCAGCCGAAGTACCGAAATTGAGGTTATACTTTGGCTCTTTAGTTGGGAAGAACACCCCAAAGTGTCTCTCTGTCTCTTCACCTAGTTTGTTATTCTCATCAAACACGGCAAACAAGTAAGTCTCTATGGATCTTTTAGGTCTCTTTGGGGTACCCTCTTTCACATGCCGAATCAAATTCGAGTAATAAGTCCTCGCATTATCCGTTGATGCCCCAAACGCACCTGCCGAAGGCCACCCACTTTCCGACACAACAACCTCCAAAGAGCCTCCTCCAGCTCTCTCAACAGCCGAGTACAAAGCGTCCAGCATTGCATCAAACAGGTTTTGGTACCCTTTGTCACCATCCCATGCCATAACTGATGGTGAAGTGAACAAAGCATAAGGAAGAGAAATATCTCTAGGATTTCCAATATAACTAAAATATGTATAGATGTTAGCAAGTAGTGGTGATTTGGCATAAACCAAGAACCCTATAATTGGGTCCAAATAAGCTCTCACATCACCGCGAAAAGCGCCTTGTGACGGAGGGTAGGAGTTGCCTATCAATCCCGTCTCTATGGCAGTGGAGACCTTGATTTGGTCTTGAAGGCCAGCTGATCTGATTGCATTGTATATGTTCTTCATTGCGGGGAGGACAAACTGAGCCAGCCTAGTAGTGTCTCCATAAACAGGGCTCACTTCGTTTCCAACCGCAATGTATTTGAATCTCACGCTTTGCCGGAAATTCAAGACATTTGTTTGTACCCATGTTTGCGCTTCGGAAGGGTTGGTTGCGAGTCGTTCAAGGTCTTGGTTTGGGACACCAAGCATGAGCTCGATGTTGGAGCCTCGAAGAGCTTGTAGAGCGGATTGGTTTGGATCGTAAATTCTCATTTGTTTGATGTTATTTGATTTGTAAAGAGATATAACTTCTGCGTGGGATGGTAGATTGTTGCCCAGCATTCCATAACATACACCTACGGATTGTACACCTGCATATATAAATATACGTCCGGAAAATTTGTTATGTGTGTATACGTACATCAATACATTACTTATGTACACATATTATACATCAAGAAAATTTAAAGTTATAGGATATTTATGCATCTATTAATCAACATTAATTAGTATTTTTTTTCTCTAATATGCCCAAGGAAATATATTGCAAATTGAATGAGGTATACGTTCAGACCTGTTATACCAAGGTTTGCCACCAGGAGCCCCAAAAGAAGCATTATAGTAATGGTGAAGGGAATGGACGTATTGCTTGTTTTAGAGGTGGCCATGGCCATTGAGAAACGAACAGCAGCAAGGCAATAATATTCAGCTTTCGGCTTTCAGCTGGCTAATTTGTGTTATGTTATCTCCATTTGGATTTTATTTATAGATATCATGATGAAGCTAGCTTTCTCTAGCTAGCTAGCTAGCCTGAATATAAAATGCATCCGCATGCTTATCCTCCTCTGAATTTACTTTTCAAACTGGCCCATGGCGGCGTTTCCTTTTATTAGTTTGTGGTACACATTGACATTGTCTGCTGATAAGTCTTGGAAAGTACAAGGTTTTTCTAAGGTTTTTTTAGGTTACCACATGACATATTTATTGACGTTGTCTCCTAAGTCTTCGAAAGTAGAAGGTTTTTCTAAGGTTTTTTAGATTAACCACATGACATACTTATTGACATGGGATATGTTGGCTAAGTAGGCAAAATTATTTTAAAATATTCAATGTTAGTTAAAATTAAACTGATTCTCTGTGGAAGTGATAATTGGCCTATTCAAAATCACTTCCAAACGAGCCGTCGTTTGTTTAGTGTTGTATGTTGGTGATTGGCAACATGTGCACATGCACCTATAATCCAGAAAACATTGCGTAACAAAACATCTAATTATCTTTTTAGTTAATAGCTTTGTGCCTATATTAATCAATGCCATTGACTTTATCACTTTAATTAGCGCCACCATCAGGCGGCTAAACTTCAAGCCTTCAAGAAAAGGCCACTGAACCTCTATCTTAGTACTATTGAAAGACGTATAAGTGGAAGATGACCTAAAATACCTAACAAAGTTAATTAAGTCACAGAGAGGTTCCTTGACCTAATTGACTCGTCTTTTTCTCTTACAGTAATTAGTGATCAAATTGATAGAAAGTCTACAGGATAAGTAGATAACACGAAAAAAGACAAAGAATGTCACTATGATTAAGGGTTGTTTAGAGTAGATTAATAAAGAGTGATTTTACCGACACAACTCAAACTTTTAATTTATGTCATTTGCTAAAGCTTACAAAGGGCTTATAGCTCAAGTGGTTGAGAGCATGTACTCATGCACTCGAGGTTTCGATTTCTCATTTCCCAAATATTGTTTCTATAAAAATAAAAAGTAATAATAAATTTTTAAAAAGGGATGTCAAGCAGGGCTTGGTCTCTTAGTAGTGGGCTTAGTTATTTATATTCTCTTGACTTGAAGGCAAAGTTTAAGCCTTTAGGCTCAGATGGGCTTGATCCATTCCCATTTTCGACACAAAGAACATGATTGCTTCGCCACAGCATATAGCCCAACTTAAATAATTCGGAAATAATTTTGTCCCAAATTTGTATTGCATTAAATCCTTCTGGTATTAAAGAAGAATACTTAATGAAAACACAATAAAACACAGAAGCACATATTCTTTTTAGGACTTCTTTTCATTGTTGTGGATAACAAATCCGCCACATACACCAATACATTCATGACTTTTGAAACAAAGTTTTGCAATACTAAATCAAGCAACGAGGACAAACCAATACACCAACCTTAAAGATAAAGGGACTGACAGCTATTCGAACCGGGCATGACCAAATTTCTCCGGCGGATGCATTCCCTTATACGTTATACAAGTCACAACAACTTAGAAAATGATTTCATGTGCTCAGAGTTCAGAGAAATGACAACTACTCATAATTGTAATTTCGCCCGAGTAGGGATTTTTTTCCATTTCACAAGAGTAGGGATTTTTAATATTAACTAATATTAATTTTTCTATTTGAATGGAAATTAATAGAGTTCATTCAATTATGAGTAGTTATCCTAAACCAACTACTCATAATTGTTTATAAGAGATTTTCTTGAAATGAAAAATCTTTTTAAACAATAGCCTGAAAGCAATTATGTCCAAAAACAAAAACTCAAAGCATTATGTTGGTTTAGGATATTTGTTCTGTTCTTACAGTATCATGCTTGTGTTATATGTTTGAAGCTATGTTGAAAAAGTAATTTTTTTTAGTACAAGTGAGATAGTCTAAATTAAAGGAGAGGGTGTTCTCACACACGCACACAACTAAGATGTTATGGAGGTTCGAACCTGAGACCTATTACAAGTCAAGGCACTTTTTCACTGGGGTTAGACACTGTTAGCAGGAAAAAAAAAACGTTTTTGAATGTTAAATATCAATGTCTTTTGATATTAATTCTTAATTAGTATTTTTCATATTTATTAATCACCATTTATGATTAAAGAACTATGTTTTTTTTTGTTGTTGAGAAATTATTAAAATGGACCAGCTAATTTTTACTGTAAATTGACTTGATAACAGTGCCCTAAGTATTAGGGACTGAAAACAACTTTTGCCTTATTTTCGGACTGAAAACAGTACCCTAATATTAGGGACTTTTTTTTTTTTTGATAAGGGACTTTCTTAAGTATTGATGGAATAGCACTATCGCATAAAAAAGATGGAACTTCGCATTATTCAAGTTAATGTTTGCTATGAACAACTTTGGTTTGTTTGAGTTAAAATCATTTCCTTATTGGCCAGAGCCTCTCTAGAGAAATGTTTCCTATTTTTGTTTTTTTTCGATTGATCAAGACTAACCACGAGTTTGGGATTACTGCTACTTTTTTAAAAAGCTACTTCTATTGTGTTTTGAAAGTAATGAGCTGTAAAGTAAAGCAGTTCCATATTTAGTAAACCAAAATTTTAAAGTATTGTTTAGTATAAAAAGCAGTGTGAAAAGCATTTGGTAAATTTTAATATAAAAATGTTGGAACGGTGAATAATGAACATGATGTTATTGGTAAATTTTAATATAAAACTATTGTAATTGTTGATAATCACTATGTGTTATAAAACTAGAGGGAGAAAATATAGAGAGAAGTGATATGTTAAAGATAAAGTTTCACCATGTTTATTCTTCACTTAATCTTTGGTAGAAGAACCTATTTATAGGCTTACAAGATAGGAGATTGAATACCATCATTTACAATATACCTATAGGTTACAAGCACTAATTACAAATACTTAGTGCATAGGTTACATAAAATTCAACGGTGGAATACTAAGAGGTATAGTGGTCATCCACCAACTCATGCATTTACAACACTCCTCCTTGGATGTCCACCATACAATGGCATAATTCCCTCATTAAAAACCTTGCTTGGAAAACCCAGTGGGACAAAACCGAAGCAAAGGGAAAAAGAGTGAAACTTTCTTCTGAATCATTGATATGGCGTTGGATGCGCTTATATTGCCTCGTTAAAACCTTGCTAGGAAAAACCCAGTGGGACAAAAACCTAGTCGAATGGAAAAAGAGTACAACGCACATATGTCATGTATGTAGTAGAATTGGGATGCTCCCCTCTGATTGATATCTCTCCCTGATTAATATCTCCCCTTGATTTTCATTAACTTCTGGAATTTAGGCTTCAGAAAAAGTTTTGGTAAAAAGGTTTGCTAGATTATCTTGTGAACAAATTTGTTTAACTCCAATCTCTTGACTTTTTTATGAAACTATGTCACCCTTGATGAACCCTTCTTTGATTTAAGCAATACAAGCAACATTGTCTTCATACAT